TTAACACTTATTTACTGGAACCGAGGGAAACAGTATGTTTTGTGGTCCCGAGACCGCTGATGTTTCCCGAAGCGAAGCTGAGGGAAACATCAGCGGTCGAGGGACCGCAAAACATACTGTTTCCCGAGGTTTCCAGTAAATAAGTGCTTTATTATCATATCAAGTGTCAAAGAGAGCAAAAAACGTAAATAAATGAAGTGTTTTTATTAAAGATTTTGATAAAATAACTGAAAAATGGCAATACAAATAGTCACTAAAATCAATCAATGTAATAACACAATGAATACTAATTTAATTATTTGTAGACGAAATTAAATGTTTCAAAACAATTTTGGAATTCACCGTCCGTAAATGTGGCATTTTCACGACACTGAAGAGTGTTTTTCTGCGATTTTGTACTTATTGACGGTCCACAACATATTATTGACCGCTGGTGGACAGTTGCCGGGAAACAGTAAAATTTTGTGACTTTCACGTGGTACACTCTCGACCAATAAGATACTAGGAAAAGTGAACTTTGACACTTGATATATAATAATAAATAATATTTTTTTATAAGAAGCGTATCTCGCTGGTGCATTCAGGTGTGGGAAGTAGCAATGGAAGGGGGGTGGGGTGGGGAAGTGGCATTGTATCTGGATTGTCTGTCTGTCTGTTGTCTCCTTATTAATTTGTGTCTCTTTTATGGCAATTTCTGTGGAGTGTATCCCTTTTTGGTTGGATTGGTCAAAACAGTGATCTGTTGTGTTCATTCTACCGTTTCAATGAAGCAACACGCATTCCAGAAAAAGATTGAGGAAATACTATATAAAAGAAATAGATTTTTAGTCCAAAGAAGAAGACAAAAATGTGATGAGATGTAATCTTCATTTGACTTCAGCGTATCGTACGGTTTTGTTCAGACTCACATAAAAATGCCTTGGAATCTATTCATTGAAATTAACACCCTTACCTGGCTGCAACCAACGAGAATATCCTCATAAAAAAATGACTTCGAAAACTTTGTGATTTTCATCCAGAATAATGACGAAGACGTAACGTGTAAACCCCGAATAATTTAGAAAAAACATTCTTCTTTTCTCGTATCAACTAAGACTTCCATGGAGAAAACCCCGATATACCGTCCTTGCATGTGGTCGTATCAACTAAGACTTAATTACATAGAGCTCGAGACAACCCCGATATACCGACCTTGCGTGGTTGTATCAGCTAAGACTTCTATAGAGAAAACCCCGATATACCGACCTTGTTATTGGACTGGTCTATCGCTGTATATCTATTAACGCTGTCGACCTTTTCTTTTCAGAATTCTACAAGATGATGATCAAGMATAAATAATGAGACTCGACACGTTATGCACATACATAAAACGGTTATTTARAATATAGACTCGTTAAGATGACTGGCTGAAGACTTTGAAATGCATTTGACTATAACTTATTATAGTATCCACCAAACTTTATTTGGGCTTTTACAAATCCAGGATTCTGATTGGCTACTGCGCTATGGTATATTCATGATATACTTGAAGCAAAAACAGTCGAAAAAATRTCAATATAGATTGTCCTTTATGTCTTTTTTCAAGATTTGCCCGATCGATTCTCGGTACGAGTACGGCCTTATGGACTGTCAACTCGTAGTCCACTCCACCTCGTGGTCTAAYAGTTATATATGAAGAATTACAAAAAACTTGTAAATTCTATAGATGCCAGTGAGAGATTTTAGGATGTCCAAACACACTATACAAAAAACAGATATATACACACAAACTACACATTGTAAAATATGTTCACTTTGATTTTTGAAGYGTTATTCCATTCTCACGGTAGCCTTCGTAGCCAGGCGTTCCTAGCCGCTCAGAGAGAGTATAGGCCKGAGAAATTCAGAAAGGAACGCCTGCCCGCAGCATTAATAACTTTGAAAAAATCGGTTCGTCCACGAGCGGGCGCGCGTTTCTCATTGGTGAGACGCCAGGTGTTTTTCAAATTTATAAACACTGCGGGCATTGCGTTCCCTTCTGGGTTTCTCCGGCCCAAGCTCTCTCAGAGCAGCTAGGAACGCCTGGCTACGCTGGGTATTCTCTGATTTGCATAAACCATAYGGCGCGGGAGAATTAAAAGTCGCGGATTGAGAGGGGACTGGGAGCGACTTATGGAATCAGTTTAACTCACAACGGTGCTACTCCTATATTTGGMATGTGATTTGAAGTCACGTGATTGCAAACCAATCAATATCTTATCTTACCCCCTGCAGCGTGTGTATCAGCTTTGTTTCAGCCAGTGCGTAAAACATTGCAACAAAAAAACGTAATTTGTATTTTGTCATTTTAGTATCACTTTAAATTATTATTATCGTAATAAATAGAAAGTTTTATTCGAATCAATGATGACACTATCCAGCAAACTATATATGGGCTTTYACAAATACAGGATTCTGATTGGCTACGAAGAATTCTAAAATGTGTCATGTGATTCGTAGTCATGTGATTGCAAACCAATCTGAATATCTTATCTTTCCCATGCAGTACGTACATCAGATTTCTTTTCGCCAGTGCATGCGTAGAAAAATTACAACAAGCTGAAATGATGTATTTTACTTGCATCCAAAACAAAAGAGATTAAGAAATGGTGGYCATCATGAGAAAAGAAGTTCTTTGTGGTTCATTCACCAGAAGCCAATCYGCGTCCTTGACCAATGGTCGCTCCTTGTTATTGTTTTGAAGAATGCAATTATTTTATGTTTTTTGTATTTCTATCARTATTCGTTTAGTTATCACTGTTTGAAATTGTATTTTGTCATTTTAGCATCACTTTAATTTATTATTATTATAKAAAGTTTTATTCGAATCAATCGTGATATGTTCTTTYTGGAAAAAAAAAATCGAGAAACATCCAGAGACTTACGACCAAAATCCCTACTTACCTCGGCCAGAGATGATTTTTATCATATTCCTTACAAAAGCAATGTTTCTATATTAAAAGTGGTCATCAAATCTTAATGAGTTATTTAATTGTGGTCTGAGAACAGGTCAGATTACAACGAATATAATCCCGTGATAATCTTTACAAAAAATATCCTCGTGAAATGGGCTTTCTTTTAAAACGATATAGAAACCCTTTGAATTCATTTAATTTGATTTACAAGCCTACAGAGATGTAACAATAATTAAATCAGTGTGTTTTGATTCGCGTATTCCCACCCGTTTTCAACTATGAATAAATCATTTGATTAGACCACGAGATTCTAGCCAATCAAAAGCAACCGTCAGTTTGCTCAGCAAATTCCCAAAACCCGTAATCAGATTGAACATAACGTTACAAAGAATCATGAGACAAACTATTATTATGATGGACAGTTTTATGATATCTGCCGTTTGTTGTATTTCTAGTAGATGTAGTTAAAGCATCAATCAATAATTAAATACAACAAATATCCCATTTTGAACGTCCTTTACAAATATTAACGCGTCTGGCTTGGAATTATGATATCAGGAGCCTGACCACAGATAGTATAAATAAAATCGTCTAAAAATCCACATTTTTTTTGGAAGTAGAGTCAAGTCAAGTAGATGACAAGCAACACTTGATCGAGACGATTCCCCGCTGTTCTATTTTTACAGCGTTCCGCTAGACCTGCGTGAAGAATCTTTCAGCCTTGGTGTATTTGTTATGGTGAGACGACCAATAGACAATCACTTATAAATTAGAAGTTAACTATTGAAGAGCTTGCATATATAGGCCAATTTGCATTTACTATCTGCTAGTAACCAACAACCACCGAATCTCTGCTCCGAATGCAACGGTGTGTGAKATTTGTGCTGCTAAATTGAGAAAGATGTCGACAAGCAAACTGGTGAGTTCAAGAATTGACGGTTTGTCTTTTGAGTCTATATGTGCAAGTTGAAATAAAATATAGAAAGAAATAATTTAATCTATAGCTAGCTCATCACCGAAATCACTTGTTAGATTTCAACGGCAATTTGTGTATTTTGCTCAAAAAGTTCAGGTTTTTTACAAAATATAACTCCAACGGATAGCTAAAGATGTTGTTATTCAACACAATGCTAAAAAAAATGTACATTGCTTTTCCCATACAGATAGCACAAGTGCTAATGAAATAAATACTTTAAAAAAACCTTTATCAGCAAATATGCACCGGTGAAACTGAATTACACCACGGTGGTAAAGAGAAAGAGACTTGAGAATCATAGAAGTCAATAAAAATCGTTAATTTTTGAAATATATGAAAATATAATGTCATTTTAGCGCCATAAGTGTTTATAGACCATGTTTACAGTTCAATTAAATATTCAAAATATGGAGGCTGGCCAGATTTGGTGGTTCGTTCAATCTTTGACAAATATTGAAGAAAAACAGGACAATTAAAACTCGAAGCTTTGTTTTTGAAAGTAATTTTTAATGTAATTTTAACACTCTTCGCTGTCTTGCTTTTCACGACATCTATAAAAGATTAGAAAGTCATGTTTGAATTAGAAATCGCTTACTGCCTTCAATTCACAYAGTCTTTCGAAAAGTACATATCTTTTTCGTAAAGAGTTCAGAATTAGTAAATTAATGAATTATTTTGTAAAAAAAAGAAAACACTGAAGACGCGAGGAATGCAAGTACACCCATAAAGTAATAAATCTTTTCCATTTCCATCTTAGAATTGTCATACTCACAATGTAAACCGCACTAATATTGTTTAGCCGGTACTTACAGTTTACCGACCGATGAGGTACCGTTTTTGTGTGTGCATCATTACACAGTCAATAGATGGACATGTACAATCATGTCCCTTATCAGTAACGTAAGTTTGTCACCAGAAGGTCCTAGGACTGTTTTACCGGAAATAAAGTTTTATGTAGTGATTTAAAATATAGAGAATTTTGTGGTTTGCTCTCATGAAACAGTATCTTTATTTGCAGCAGCTTGAAGTTCTATAGTGAGTACAGCTYTCTCACTGATCTACTACAGTAGATCGCTATTGGYGCGCAAGCACTTTTTCCCGTACTAATACTGTTACATCAATATATACTTTATCCGATATTCATTTACACTGATACGGACATTTCTACCGTTGCATGCAGTTTCTCAAAGGACATTCTCATCATGTGTATTTTTTGAATTATGTACATCAAGCTTTGCAGTGCATTCTGGCTTACCGCTTCAAATCTCMACATCACTAGCTTTAAACAGCAGGTATCTTGCACTGGTCATATAACAAGTGCAAGTTATTACCGACAACCAAAGGGATCAATAAARCACTACTCTATGTATATATAGTTGTGAAATAAGATGAAAGGTGAAATAACTTCCTGAATTTCGGACGTCAATCATCCTTGGTCGCCGAGTAAGGAGTCACTTCAGTTCGCTTACTTTTAATTCACAACTGTTTCTTTCAGAGAAACACCAACGCAGCTCACACAAGTTTACCGCTAGTTTAATTATCAGTACAGCAACCGTCCTCTTTTTTCAGATTTCCGGTGCTATCAGTCGCGTAGTGTGGACTTTTTACCGCGACACATATTTTGGACTGGGTGGGCTAACAACCGCCAAAGGCGGGAAGTATTTTAGGAGGTCTGGAGTCCTCCCACATGATATTTTGAAATAATAACTCTTGCCAATGCGATTTTCAACGTTTTGAGGGGCATTCGAGAGCATATAAACTAAGCCACCAAATCCTGAAAATTTCAATATTTTCTTGTCACTTGGTGCGCGCCTGCTATCTGATATGCATATTATTATCTACTATCTGATATGCATACTATTATCTACTATCTGATAAGCATATTATTATCTCTACAGCACAAGCAAGGTCATCTCAATGCACAAGAAACCGCTGGTCAGTAAATCCCAAGTTATTTGTATTAATTTCTTACACAGTAACAAAGTTTGTCAAATTCACCGGAAAAATCGCGCGCCATAAAGGTTGTAAATTTGATGTAWATATGATGTAAGTGTCCAAAATGATGTAAATTTGATGTAAATCATTTCCATCAAATTTACATCATTTTGGACACTTACATTGCAACCTTTATGGCGTGCGATTTTTTCCAGTGATTAATGATTATAACGCCTAGAATTGCGCGCGCCACAAGGCAGTGGCCATAGGTAATGCCCGAACGTTATTTATTCGGCAAACTGAGAACGGGGCTTTGCGAAAAGTAAAATGTTATCACATCTTCCTCTAGTCTAGGCCTAGCCTGTTTCGACCCACTTCAAGAGTAGCGGCGAAATAACGCGGATCGAAAGGATGTTAGGCCTGGGCATAACCTTTACCAGCTGTTGATCAACATTATATGCTGATTAGTCATTTCATCTTTCCACTTATAAGACTTTCTCTTTCTTTCTCTATTTCTCTTTTCTTTCTATCTGTCAAGACGACGAGGAGAAGCCGAGCGAGCCAAGCGAGCCCAGACCTATTCCTTCTGTCTTGGAAGCTGGTAACACTAGCTTGATTTTCTTCTTTTTCCTTGTAGTCAATTCCCAGTTATATATCATTTTAAATAATCATTGAAACTCCACAGGCAGGTGGTACAAAGGAGGTATAGCGTTAATCATTCCATAGACCTTTGTGTTATCTGCTGGCTAAGGGATTATCCGTTGGATAGCGCTATACACCCGTCTTTATACTACCATCTGAAGGAAGTCCAGGAAGGAAAAACCTGGATTTTAATTCACGTAATATTTCCATTACATCGTTTGTAAAAAGTGTGTAAATGTGATGTAAATCAAATTTACAATGTATAGTAAAATGTACATGTGATGTAATTAAATATTTGTAATAAGTGTCCAAAATCATGTAAATATTACATCATTTACATCCTTTTTACATACACATTTACATACACATACACAGTTTTTTCCCCGGAAAGACGGCTTTAAACAGCTTAAACTTTCCATGTTTTTATTTAATCAAAAGAATTCAAAGAAGCTTTCTCACTATTCGACAAAGACGGAGATGGCACAATCACCACAAAGGAACTGGGAACCGTCATGAGGTCTCTTGGACAGAACCCAACAGAGGCTGAATTACAGGACATGATCAATGAAGTTGATGTTGATGGTAAGAGATGGATTTATAGTTAGTCTGTGTAGTGGCTTAAAACGAGGGGGGACGGGCAGGGCTGACCCTTTTTATGCACCACACAGGCTGCAGGGTTAAGGAATCAATGCAATGTTAGTTAAAACAYTATGCAGGAAATCTAGATTCACAGTGCAAAGCTACAATCCTACACATTTTTACGCGGGACATTGCAACATGTAACTGTTTCAATTTGACAACATGACAAACACTCGGTACAATAACYAACGCCAACATTGACCGTGGGGGGTGGGGGAGGGACTRTAAGGTGGTGTTGTCAGTAGAACACTAAGAATGTGTGTTAAGTACAGTAACAGTTGATTGTGTCCAAAGGTATGTTGTCCATGATTGTAGCTCTCTACTTAGATATCACATGATGACATGTGGAAGATGCCGAAACGTTGTGGAATTATCGTTGTGTTTGTCTTCATTTTAACTATTAATTCAAACGCGAAACTCATATCATGTGCAACTATTGTCGAACATATTTTCCGATTGCACTGTATCCTCGTTAATTTCAAGTTACGTCACAGCGGCCATCTTGGACTTCTWGATCTTAAGGATTTCTCATTGRTATCTCCACATTCTTCCAAAATGGCCGCCGATCTTTTGTCTTTTGAACTCATGGGAATTGTTTTAAAGGATCAATTCACRTAYCTTCTCAAGTGTTGATTCATGAAGACAAGCTCATTGAGCACGGACAAGTTGRATTCAKGCGTCAACGTATRCTGAGCGCAAATCTTTTCTTTTATGCTCATTTCACCTTGACGCCTYTTTTCMATTGATWGTACATCAGCCAACGCWAGGTAGTCTAGCTAATGACTCAAACWTTCTCGCTTTTTCCAGGAAACGGCACCATCGACTTTGAAGAGTTYCTTAATATGATGCTTAARAAAATGAAAGATACCGACAGCGAAGAAGAAATCCGTGAAGCATTTCGAGTATTTGACAAAGACGGYAATGGCTTTATTAGTGCAGAAGAACTTCGACATGTTATGACAAGTCTCGGTGAACGGCTAACGGACGAGGAAGTTGAYGAGATGATCCGAGAGGCTGATATCGATGGTGATGGCCAGATTAATTATGAAGGTCTGTTGAGTGAGATTAGATACATCTTTCTAATGGGATCTTTCTATCTGGTTTCGATTACGATTGTACCGGGATGATCTTACCATTTACATCAAATCCCCCTCCCCCTTACTCATCGACACTACCATTTACATCAAATCCCCCTTCCCCTTACTCGTCGCCGACACTATACCATTTACATCAAATCCCCCTACCCCCTTACTCGTCGCCACTATACCATTTACATCAAATCCCCCTACCCCCTTACTCGTCGCCACTATACCATTTACTTCAAATTGTCTTTAAGAAAATAGTCATGAATCATAGCTATAAATCATGTGCTGTAACCATTTTACTGACTGTGTTTTCTTTCTAATCACAGAATTCGTTAAAATGATGACAAGTAAATAAAGAGCTTTGTTTGTATGGACGACAACTAAGAAGTTCCTCACTTCATGACGTCTTTATATCATAAACGTGTTTCTATATCTTCTTTCTATCGAGAGTGCTTATTAAGAGAGCGAATCCTGCTCATTATTTCACGCGTGGCAGGATTTATTTGAGATGACATTATTCTGGTTCCAATAAAGCAGGCATTTCTTTTAAAGGGCTACTTGGATGAAAAATGGCGAAACACTGGAAAAGACACGAAATTCTTGTAGACTTATCAATAAAGATCCTATAATCACGAAGCAATGTATTTTGACAAAGATATTTATACAATTTCTTAGGAATTTTGTCAAAAGATTTTGGAGTATATGACGTCATATACTCCATCCTTTTGTTCTATCTTCGTTTGAGAAAAAAAAATTCTGCTTTGGAATGACGTTCATAACAAAACTTTTCTCTGAGAAAGTAATATAGGTATATATGAGTCATATATTTGAATTACACAGGGTTCTGAAATTAGTGCTTCTTCGTGCAAGTAGCACTTTAAATTAAGGAATAAAAGACGAAATTCCGTGTTTGATACTCTGATCAAAACACACGGGATGTAGGGAGAGCACGAGAGAAGCGTAGGAAACCACGACGCGTAGCGGAGTGGTTTCCAGCTTTTCGAGTGCTCTCCCTACATCCCAAGTGTTTTGATCAGAGTATCAAACACGGAATTTCGTCTTTTATTTCTTTTCTAAAATTAAAAGAATACGAAAATTGTAAAGAATTCTGACTTTTGATACGATATGAAACGATGAATTCTCCTTACATTTCAGTTGTCTGCAGCTTCTGTAGCTTCTAAAACGTTTGATAGCTCTTCTTCTGGGACATCATCCGAGAGGACATCATAAATAGACATTTCTTACGTTCATTGTTCTTGAAAATGAATAATAACAACAACAAATGCAAACGGCGGGAAAAAAGAAATTTTTGACGCGCGCGAGCGTGTTTTGATACTGTAATCAAACATGGTTTTCGACCAATCACAGCGCGCGTAGTATCCTAARTATTTTAGAAACTGCTGTCAAAACTGAACTTGAAAGGAATAATGTTCAATTCTCTAAAATGGGTGATTGTTGCTCGAGGCAATCCTGTGTATGTGGGGGCCTTAAATACTTGAACTTCTTATCTCCTTGAATAACGTAGTGGAAAAARAAGAATACTTAATACCTAACCCTTTCATGGAATYCAATTTATAACATGTTCAWTTTGGATGCGCACRTGCATGTAGAGACACAGGTAACCCAGGCTCAATATAACTAACTATAAAGTATATCGCATAAATGTATGCATTATAGAGTGGTTCTCATTAACCCGTGAAACAAAGTGTAATAATCAAAGTGTAATAAAGTGTAATAGCCAAGAAATATAATAGAAAACAAAAGAGACAAAGTGTAATAAAGTATAATACGCTAAAGTGTATTTTACGGGTTAATGAAAACCACTCTATTAAATGGTTAAGTTGGACAAACAATAGCCTGTGTTACATCCGGAATTTCTGTGAAATTCCGGATGTAACACAGGCTAGACAAACAAAGGCATATCTAAAATGGCGTAAATCCTCTAAAAATCGAAATATTTCAAACCAGGAAGGTAAGAGACGTTTTATTTATGTTATAAATAGTATTATAGGACAATAATATTATGCGTACATTTAAATAGCCTTATGCTTATTAGTTATTGAGCATGGGTACCTGTGGCATGAATGTTTTAATACAGCTCGACAATAGATGACTTGCCTTTATCATAAACAACAAGAAAATTGAAGAAAGAACAGAAAAAATGGAAAGGAGATGAAACGTCAACATTGTTAGTGCAACATGTGATGCACCCAAAATACTGTAGTTTTGAAAATATATGAAATATATGGAATTGAAGATGCCGTCAAAAAGAGCAGAGGCTTAGCACATGAGCATGTGGTTTGCTTTGGTAAGGGACTGTGCAATAATTACCAGGGGGGCGTAAAACCAGATTTCTTATAAGCAGAAAATTAGTTAGAACCCCCCTCCAATGCATAAGAAAATAGCTCTTATCCCCCCTGCTATATTAGAAATAACGTCGAACCTTCACCCCCCAACTAGTAACCTTAGTTATAAAACAAGCACAAGCGAGTCGAGTCAACTGTAGCAAACCAAAATTCACCAAAGACGAACCCAGATGCAAGAGGTGGCTTACTCATATGGATCTAAGTGTAAAGACAAAAACTTTCAGGAGGAGCTGACAACCAAATGTGGTGCCCTTGCTTCTTTCAAATCTGAATTTTGTTCCTGGCAAAGGTTTTCACGGTCCAAAAAAAGACTAATGTAACGTTTTTATGGTCAAAGACGACTTTGATATTACTTGGTGGGAACTATAGCAGTGAGCTGCGTCGGTGTTTCTAAAGAAACAGTCGTGCAAAAAGATAAATTAAACACCGTATAAAAGTAGGTGAAGTAACTTACTGACGGACGTTTCGGACGTCAAAACATTTTACTCCGACGAAGGGATTAATTTCCGAAACGTCAGTAAGTTACCTCACCTACTTTTTTACGGTGTTTAATTTATCTTTTTACACAACTGATATTATTTGTGCTAGTTATGTCTAATAAATCATCAATATGTTTTTCAGCTTCTACATTTT